AGCGTTCTTCAATGCACCCATCCTAAGCACAGGCACATCCCACAGCCACATCCCGGCTTCACAAGGATGCGTCTCCTTGCAGCCTTGCTCCTGCATTGCTTCTTCCTACAACTCCTCCATGGAGCTGGGGCTCCTCATCACACATCCACCAGTTCCCCTCTGCAACCCCAAATCATTGTATAAACACCTGCAGTTGTGGTCCTGGTGAGCCTGTGCTCCAGGTGTATTGGGCATAGTTCTGCAGACCCTGGGAACCCACCAGCAGCAACAATCCCTTGTTCTTGCATTGCCAAAAGATAAAGCTATTTAAGCAAAAATACAATTCACACCTACATAGTGAAGTTAATCATGCAAAATGTTCTGCTCGCTGTTTCCTTCTCCTGTATGTCTGGAGCTGCCTTTTTCTTTTATAAAGCTTCACACCACAGGTACACAGAACAGACACATCAGAGCTGTGAGAACATCAAATGGCTAAAGATGTGCTGGAGATTAAAGCAGATAATACTCATCTCAGATTTCAGAGAGCTAACATTCCCCCAACAGTGCTCGCACCATTTTTGGAACCATCCACTTTAGCCTTAATGTATAAGAAGGGGAACCTGAGATTTTTTATGTGCCATGTATGCCGATTTTGTTCAAAGCAATACAAAAAGAGTCTGAAACAACTTTAAAAAAATGATATCCCAACTTCTTCTGTTTTATTTGTTCCCTCTGTTTTAAACTCCCAGGTATTTACACTGCTGGAAAATTGACTGGCCCAGTCTTCTTGTCCTCCAACAAGAAATGTCTCAGCACAAGCATCCCGTCTGACCTTGACGGCCCGCTCTGCAATGACAAAGCCTGTCACGTCTGTGCTCATTCTGTCCCCAGCCCCTCTGATGCCGCTGCCAAAGAAGGTGCCAGCCATCGGGGTATTTCCTTTCTGCCAAGCGCTGCCAGCTTGGCTGCTGTCACGTTAGCAATAGCCAGAGGATTGCTAGGACCTGGCCACAGAAGAGTTTTCATTTTAGCAGATCCGTCCAGTAGCACATTACAAAGCAGCACATTACAGTCTAGCTGACTAATTAGGTCCCCGGCTTAGAATACTGATTTTGTTTTTAAATGGTTCTTTTTTTGGTCTTCTTTCCAATCCCATAGACTGCCTCAGTCTGGGCTTAAATTGTGTAGCACTGTTCAGCAGATGAAGTGGCTGTAACAGCAACTGCCCCTTGACACCTGCACACTTGAAAAATACTGGAAAAAGCCTATAGATATTATAAACTCGCTAAAAGGAGCTGATAAATTTCAGCATTTCAGTTTAAAACAACCTCAATCCTGGTCCCAGTTCTAGGACGTGCAAATAAACACTGGCAAACTCCGGTCCCAACTTTTCACACCGTACGACAGCCGCCAGCGCAGCAGCGAAGAGCACACGCGCTCTGAGCCGCCCGAAGCGGCGGCACTCGCGGTGTAACATTGCCACCAGGCGGGCACACGCGGGCCCGGGGCGTTCCAGCGCCCGGCCTTGCGGAGCCTGGCGGAGCCGCAGGGGCCCGCGTTTCCCAGCGCCAGAGCCGCACAAGCGGGCATTGTTTGAACACCTGCACCGCTCCCGCTGCCGCTGGGCCGGGGCCAGCAGTGCCGCTCGCCGCTGGCCGCAGTTCAAACCCTGACCTTTTTAGGCAGGAAGCCGGCGAAGGCTGGGGTTTCATGTCAGAAAGCTGGCAGAGGGAGCGGCAGGAGAAAGGCAGACGGCGGTGCGTCCGAGCCGCGTACCAAGGCAAACAGCTTCAGAAATGTCACTGGTGTCCCTCTGCACGCGTTTTCTGAAAGCACTCCTTTACCGCTGATAACGCCCTGCAGCCATGGCGCGTTGGAAAGACGTGCAGCGGCCGCGGGAAAGGCTTGAACGCCCATTCAGTGCGCAGCGATGCGTCGGGAAGCGGTGTTGGTATTCCCGGCAGCGCAGGCTCATTGAGGACCTGTCAGCTGTGTCACACCTCATCAGCGAGCAAAAAACCTCTCACAAAAACCCGCGGGAAGCTCCCCAAAGCTGTGATAAAACTGAGGGCCACCTAAAGCCTCTTAGTCCTTGCTGCGAGTGAGAACAATTAGGAAAATCAGTTACCAGGCCACTCAGCTTCCTCCTTTACCAAAAGCTGGTGGAGAAATCCATTTCACAAACCATGATCTGTTTACAGCACAGGGACAGGGGTGTCCCCAGGAGTCATCAAGGGAGCACAGCCGTGAAACATTGCACAGAGTAAAGCAACAACCTTTACAGGTACAGCCAAAAGGATTTTAAAAAAACAAAAAACAAAAAAAACCCAACAACAAACAAAATGTTGGACAAATTAGGGAAAAAAACAAATCTCCTTGTTTGCCATCTCAAAATTACATGGAATAAGTGAAGTAGAATAAACTAGATGATTTTTTTTAAGGTTTCCTGAATAACAGTGACAGGGACAAAATCCAACCGGCAGCACTTCAGACCTACAGCACAAGCTTTCACATGACATCTGCAGTGCAGAAGACAAGGCTATTCAAAAGAATTTTGCACTTAAAATACTAGCAACACGAAAAGGACCTCAAACTTCGCTGTGGTGTTGGTATTTCAGCTGTCTGGTGGGTAACTCATCACATCTGCAGTGACTTCGGTTACTCCTGTGGTTGCACGTCTAATGACACGATATTCCTACAGCAACCACAGGTGTAATTCATGCAAGTTTCATGGGGAGAAAGGAAACAGGAAGGGAGAACTCAAGCTGTTGCTTGAAACAGCTTCATACACAACTGAGATCCTGGCTGAAGTTCTACAAATTTGCTTTTAAGTATTAGTCTTCCTCCTAAACATACACTAAGTTTTTCTTTATTCCCAGTGAAGTTTAAAAACTCAGAAAGCAAAACAACATTGGGAATCTCATCAACTCTGGGTTTCGTTGTTTCATTTAACATGCTGTTACTGCTAACTGGGGAACAGTCAAGTTTCTGTTATTTTGGCAGCCTACTGTTGAGAGAAGACCTCGGAGCAAATATAGTTTGTCTTTATTTCACACTGACACTAACAGCTCTCTGAGAGGGATCACTCTCACACGCTCTTCAGCAGGTCACAGTACTTGGACAAGTGTTGAAACTGTAACAGTATTCAAAGCACGGAAAGCCAGGCGTTAGCTCCAAAGATGTACTTTATTTCATTATAAAGCAGATTGTTTAGGCATTATTTCTTTTTGTGAACATCCACTGTATGACCAGCAGGTCCTGCTCTGAGGACATAGCTGCCTGATAACAGACAAAGGTTCCAGCACTAGACAATAAAAATACAGATGCATAGAACAAGTGCTGCTTAGACACCGAAGAGCTCATGGTCTAAACTGCAACCAGTCCAAACAGATGATATGACCAGAAACACAAGTACAGCTCCAGCCCAGCCAGAGCTGCGTGCCCAAAAGCAGAGTCCTTTTTCTTTCAAAACAGAATTTGTATTGAGCTTCCTGGAAAAACAGGAAGAAAATCCCCAAAGCAAAAGAACCACACCACCCTCCTTCCCTCTCCTTTTAAAGTCGCTTTTGAACTGTCCCTTGTTTCACATCAAAGTTGTGCTGTGGGATACTAGCACTTTACAAAAGACAGAAAAAATATTGAACGTAGTGTGAAGTAACAGGGAATGGTTGGCAGTGAGCATTTCACCGTTACTTTATCCCAATTCTTTTGTTCCTTTTCCAACTGTGGTCCTCACCCCAGGAGTTTCACTTTTACTGATAGGTGTATCTCATTCCAATGTGCAGATTTCTCACACATTTGGTATTTAAGCTCAGTGCATGACCAAGGGCTTCTGGATGTCACCTGTGCTCCTTGGGTGCGTAACACAGTCACATCACTCCGAGCAGAAACAGTAATTCATATACTGTCAGCCCACCATGCAAAAACGCACATCTCCATGCTGATGCAGCCTGGAGAACGTCCCGACATCGTCACTCCTCATTCTGGTTTCCACGCTGTCCAATACTGCTCGGGGAAAAGCGTATTTACAAGACTCATCTGCAAATATTTGCATTTGGTCCGAGGCACCTGATTAGTACCGACAATCTAAATTAAAATGGAAAATGAAGTATCATTCTAGTCCATTAAAGCCTACTGTAACTTCTCCAGTTTGAAGGTGTGATCTTCAAAAAAAGGAGGAGCCCCAGTAACTTCTGAAAAAGTGCTTTTGTACGCACCACTCTAGTCAGTGAGATTATAGGATGGAAAAGCCTTTGACAGAAGCAACTTACAGGAGTTATGTGACAAGGTTCTCATATCTACAGAAACAGACAAGTAATGCGTGTTACTTTCACACCCCTCTGTGGTAATGAGACTCAAAATTCACGAGATATGAGTACTCAGATAACATCCTGATTGCTATGAGACCAGAATTTATCAATGAGAGAAATGTAGCACAAGCAGATCTGCACCTAAGCAGCCCTAACATCCATGTCTTTCAGCTAGCATCAGAACTGGAAGTACTGCTGCTAATGACAGTGAAAACTAATTAGAAGGTTTTACAAAGCTGCCGGTATGACCAAGATTTAAAGTTGCAACTCTTAGGCACAGACTCTGGCAGAATCCAGATGGACCTGAGTTTTCTGCTTATGGAGGAGGGGTGGTGGGCAAGAACACCTTCCTGTCTAATACAGAAACTTGACAACAGTCTCGAGCCAATATTCAACATCTGACAAGGTCTAGCACAGTAATTACAAGACAAGACATTTGGAATCAGAGATGTCATTTAGTAAAAAGAAACAACTGCCTCCCAAATCTGCCATACTGAAAAAACCCCAGACACAGAACTGAACATATTAAACACAGTTTGTGCTTACAATCATAATTATGGAACTTGAGCATTAGAGGGAGATTTTTCTCACCACTACTGCAAAGGAGCTGCAAAAACAAGTTAAATGGAAAAAACATCCCTTTCAAACATTCAACCCTCCCCACAATTATTTATGAAAACCTGTAAAGGCTTCAGGTATACTGATGTTGAAAGGGGTTCCAAAAAAATTCAGTCATTGAACCAAGTCCAATTCAGAAAGATGCTTCTCCCAACAAAACTAAAAAACAATTTTCCTTAAAAAAATTTTTTTGCACTTTTTCCTCAACAATTTATAAAATGCAAACAGTATGCTAGAAAAGTTTGAACACAGAGAATGCGCTTTGGAAACGTTATTGAAATGTGTGTTCCTATCGAATGACATTATTGAGTTCACGTTACTTCCTTTCACCTGACTGGCTACACTTTGAGAAAGTTCCTCCTCTCTTTCCTGGGTCCATGAGAAGCTAGGTTTAGAAAAGAAGAGCTCCCATACTGCCAACTTCACTCTGTTCCTTCACAAAAATTTCAAAGTACTGATAAATGATAGTGACCGCGAGCAAAATTCCAGTTCCGGACCCAATTGCCCCAAGGAAGTCTGCCAGCACAGAGAGGGCTCCAATACAGAGACCACCAAATGCAGCAGCTGTAGGGATGTACCTGTAAAACATCAAATGGGAACAGGAAAGGTACCATTAGTTACTCAGGACATTACAAATGTACCAGGACTAGTGCTATATGGGACCTATGGGAAATAACTAAATCAGGAGCAGGTTTTTTCCTAGAAAAATCCCACTACAAATCAAAGAGACTGCAGAGATAATCTAACCAGCGGGTTTAAAAAAAAAAAGAAAAGAATGAAACTAGATGAACAGAAAAGAGGGAACAGCAGAACACTCTTCTCTTATGGGTCTACCAACCCAAGATAAGGAATGTGCAATAGTGCCAGTATACTAGGCAAAGAAAGAAAAATTCAACATGAGAGGAGGGAAAAACGATGCTAAGCTAAGAAGAGGAGGTACTACAGTCTACCATGCAGCTAAGCACAAAGATTAAGTTTATGGCTATGAGCTTAAGGCATTTGCACATGACTGAAACCTGAAGTTATGATAACATTTCTGTAACATGAAGGGTGCACAGGTTCTACCCTGCAATTAGAAAACCTAGAGACTGACCCTTACCTACCTCTGCATCTAGTAAAGTAACTACTTGTCTTAAAAGCAAGGTCTGCATGAAAGCAGTACACACATACCATCACATTAAAAACTACAGTAAAGAATACCTGTGCGTCAGTCTCAAGAAGTACACTTAAATGCTCATTATTAACTATCCTGTAAAGAGTATAAAATGAACAAAAGAACAAAAGGAAAATACAAGCTCCAGAATTTAAAGCACATTGTCTAACTGTAAGGCAAGAATATGCTGTACTGTGCAAGTCTAGCTATTAATGCAAGACAAGATTCTATGTTTCGTGCATGTAACATCAAAGCTGAATGGATATCTGTGTTCTAGGGCCTAGAAAACGGAAGTCAAAGCAAAACTTGCCATGTGTTTCCCCATAACAGTTTGCATAAACAGCTTGTGAAATGCGTAGCTCACCTGTTCAGCTCATGTACCATTGAAGTTTCTCTGTGGCCTCGCATTACCATTTGTTGTTCTTTCAATTGTTTGGCGACCTGTATTGAAACAGGGAACGGAGCAAGGAAGTTTAGCACCATTTGCAAAGGCCATGGAACTTAATACTATGGAAAACCAGAAACAAGACATTTCAGTAATTGGTGGTGGTTCCGGAGTGCTGTTTTGGTTTTTTGGGTTTGGTTTTTTTGTATTATTCACAGGAGTTTAAAATATCCAGTATTCTAACTTAAGATAGATTGCAGTGACAGGCACTTTTCCACACTGTCAATTATGCAAAGCTTTTTGGATAATTCCAGTCCTCCTGAGAAAAGGAAAATCTGGAAATTGGTAGGCTCTCATATACGTAATTTAATTCCTGTTTTGCCACCCCCACCTTCTCCCAGTTAGGGTTTAGCAGATGTTAGCAAAACCATCCTATGAAGTGCCCACTCTTACATTTCAGTTTCCCCACACTCAGTTAAGCTAAATACTTATTTGTGGGGCCATATTAGAAGCTATATGACTTAGAAAGAATCCCTTCTTGGAACATTATTTTTGAACTGGATTTCTGCAATTCTACAGGGCTACAGTAGAGCCCTGCAAACATTTTGCTAACAACTGAGACGAACTGAAATCTAGCAGAGGACCTTCTAACACTGCCTGTCACTGAAGCTAACGTACTGAGAAAACACACTTTCAGATGATTAAGGTACCAGTTTACCACTATATTGCAAACATTTAAGTAATGATTTAGCAATTTTTATTTTTGACCTTGTTTACATGAAATTAAAACATTTTCTTCAGTATCAGGAAAGTATATTATAGTGTTAAAAGCTGTATGTTGGTTTATACTGAATTAAAAATCTGGCTGTACATGGCTATGAGCATCTCCCTGCATGTCTGACAACAAGCAGCTAGATGCCAGTCCAAAACAAGAGAGTGCTCATGCTGTTACAGTAACTGTGCAGCTATTACGTACTTGTTAAAAAATGGATTAAACCATTCAATCTGGCTGCCAAACTTGAGCTCCTACCCAAAACCACACAATACAAACATACCACAATGACAACTATTTTCCATCTTGTTTTCCAATTCCAATTTCAGAATGATACAGTTGCTGAATATCAAATATCCTGTAGCAAATGCGAATTTTGAGAAGCTAGGCTCAAGCACATTAATGCAATGCACAAGATCCTCTGTTACCAGCACTCTCAAGTTAAAAATAACAACCTAGTTAAACTTCCCCCCAGAAAATTGAGAACTTTATGCCAGGGAGAGTATTTAAGTTGGGAATTCAACTTTTACCTGTAAGTTCTGAAGTGGCAACGGCCTTGCACTTGGTGCATCGGCCATCTGGCACTGAAAGAGTTTCTACTTTTCAAATGACCTTGCCTCCCCTCGCACTGAGCAGATGTTATACAGCAATGTCCAAAGTTTACCAGTGCCACTGAAAGCAATTATTTGGGTTTTTTTTCCTGTGGTTGTTTTTGAAAAAGTAGTAAAGAAAACAGAGCAAAAATTACCCCTTCATCCTCTCCACTTACTAAAAAGACAAAGATTCTTCTTTCTAAGAGCTCTTTCTGATCCAGAATCTAAGTCACTATTTATATAAACAATAAATATTACCAACAAGATTACTAACACAATAGCTACTTCGGAAGAAATTCAGTCTTATTCTTACAACAGCCCTTCTGTTTTCATCATCTAGGATGACATAATTCATCATTTTAAACTTACATCTTTGGCAGAGGAGCCAGAGACTTCAATCCACGTCTTAGAGAAGAAAGCACAGGAGCCCAACATAAACACAATATAAACAACTGCATGGACAGGGTCTTCTAACACTGAAGAAAAGGACTCTGGAGGTGACAGATAATAACAAAGTCCACCAACTGGATAAGCACGAGCAGGGCCTCCAGATGATGTGTCCTAGAAGGAAGCAAGCAGTTGTCAACTTTGTCACTATTTCTCAGCCATTAAGCTAAGCCTGGATTTATATCACCTTTGTGTCTCTGTGTATCACTATAGCAGCACACAAACATTCAACTTTACTATCACAAGCAGCTTCTAAAGTGAAAACTGAATACAATAACGAACAGCAAGAATACCTAAGACAACAAACAGCCCAAGGTAAAAGGTAAATGGAGACCTAACATCACTTACCACAGCAGGTCTCATACTCTACCATGAATTTAAACAAACTAGCAATTTATTAATGCTAATTTACAAGTTTCAGTGTACATGACTTCCTGTAGAAGTGTGCCTTAATATTCAGAGAGATCATCTATTCAACCATGCATTTTAATGGCATTCTTACAAAGCGGTATGCAAGATCAGAAGGAATACTCACCGACCAAGTGCCCAGCAGGCTAACCAGTAAGTTGCCACTGAAGCGAGCAGAAAGCATCTGGGAGATGACGTACAAGTTTGACACCAGGGCGGACTGAAGAATAATGGGAATGTTGGAAGTGTAGAACAGCTTGATGGGGTAGGTGTTGTACTGCCCACGGTAGCGAGCAGATTTGATAGGAAGATCCACTCTGAAGCCCTGAAAAGTGTTCAAAAGAAAGGCCCCCATTACACCCTGACATGAACCCATACCATAGGTCACAAATTACAAGTGCAAGGTCTTGACAGCAACAGAAAAAAGCCTGCAATAATTTTGTGGAAGTACACATACTCTACCCAGAGGGCTACCCAGGCAAACACTTCTGTGAACGCCTGGAAACCTGCGGGATTGTCTAAACTCACACATAAAAGGAGGCATGAAAGATGTAGACATCAGAAGAAATCTGAAGTTTCAAGACCGAACATAGCATTCATGAAGAGAAACATTAAAACTACTCAAAACTGTCCATATTCTTCAGTAGTTTGCTGCAACAAACAGCAAGGGACATGCAGGCTTAAAAGACTTCAAAGTATTTTCCAGCAAAATGCAGTAGCATTTCAGTTAGGCAGTATTACATGTATACATCCATCTGGTTTTTTCAGAGACCAAAGTAGGTCTCAAGTCTTATGTGCCTACAGTAAGTGTGGAAACAGATTAAAAGACACTAGTATGACATGAACATCCAGATGTTGCAGGCACAAAAGTGAGCTTTCTGAAAGCACTAGAAAGGGAAAATATAAGTTCCTGTTAAAGGAAGCAGATTACAGATCTACTTCCAAACAAACAGTTTTATAGCCCTCTTTATTCCAACTGACCTGGAAATAAATTACAATAGCAAAGACAAAAATGGTGGCGATCAGATTCATAAGGTTGGGGAGATTCTGACGGTAAAAGGCCTCACGAAGAGCTCTGACTTTGTCAGTACGAGTGGCCAGAAGATGGAACAGAGCAATGATGGCTCCCTCAAATTCCATGCCTTGGAAAGGAAAAGGAAAAACAGGTTAAATATGGTGTGATTATCCCCAGACTTCAGTGCTTTTTAGGCACACTTCTGAACTACAGGATTCAGAACGAGATTTCTCCAAGAATTTTGCATCTCGAGCACACTCTCACAAGTTTACTACTGTCACCCTTTGTATCAGCTATGTTATTCCCAAGACTGTTTTTTAAATCCCCCTGTAGTTGCCTAGAAACTAAATCATAACCTAGCAATCAAACAGGATAACTTTATTAGTCTCTAGAAACATTGACATTCACCAAGTTCTTTCCCCCTTTCCTATTCTCTGTCAAAAAAAACCCAAAACCTAAATGAGGGAGACAGCATGCTTTCTAGTACCATATATGGGGGGACACTATTGTTTGTACTACAGCAAATGTGATAACCTCACTTATGTTTTTTCTCAGATAGCACCAAGCATGATCACCTCCTGTCAGGTTTGGAAAGTAAGGTGTCTGGGGCAAAGAGCAAGACGTGCAAAGAGCAGAAACAGGTGATATTTGTCAGTAAGTTGGGCAGCAACCATAACACAATGGCAGTCTACCATTAGAGTTTGAATGGAAGCACTGTAAGAAATGCAAGTTCAGGAAATACCTTGTGAGATAACTACAAAATTAAAAGAAATATCTTTGTACTTGCACCCCGCATAGGAGCACTTGCTGTATTAACAAGGTTCACTACGTGGCAGCTACATAGCTAAGATGTTAGTAACAGCATTTGCCATTTAAGTTAACGTACTGAAAAAAAGCTTTGCATTTTTGTACAAAATTAAGACTTCTCCACAACTGACATTTCAACATTTTAAATGATCAATCTACTATTCTATATAAGAACGTAATGAATTGGAATTTTAAAAGAATAATGGGCAGAAGCTACTTGGGTCTTTTTTGTTTCGTCTGATGAAATAATGCAATTATGAAATAATGCAAGTAAAGAAAATAGATTATGCCATGTTACCTCGTCCTGTGTTCACCGTGGTGGGGCTGAATGCTTTCCAGACAATAGTCTCACAGATATTGGTAGCAATGAAGAGAGAGATGCCAGAACCAAGACCATATCCTTTCTGCAGGAGCTCATCCAAAAGCAGAACTATCAATCCAGCAACAAAAAGCTATAGTAAAAGAAGAAATACAGCATTAGTCCCACCCCTTTTTAATTTTTGTTAAAAAAAAATGTATTAACAGGTAATGAAACAGTGTGTTTCACACATACATACACACACACATCAAGAAGCAGGCACACTTGGATCTTTTTCTCATCATGTGGGGCACACAATCCATACGGCTGATTTTTTTACCCTTTCAAGAGGGAGAGTAATTAGTGAGGACTACAAATTACCTGAATTGTGATAAGCAAGCAGATACCAGCACCCATCTCAGATGGGTCTCCATACATTCCAGTCATTACATACACAATAGACTGTCCGATGGTAATGATCATTCCAAACACTGTAAAAGAAAATGTATGTATTTGTTCTGGAGATTTATGTTAATGAGCAATTAGAGAAATAGAAATAATTTCTTTGTAGAGAAAGTTGGGAAGGAATACTTAAGTCACAGGACCTTTAAATTCAAGGGCAATTTATATTTGTTGTCTGAAATCTGGCACTGAAAATACAAATACACACAGACACTTCAGAAACAAACATACTTACAAGCAATTGGGTTTGGCTACCAAAGATTGCTTTAGACGTTGACAACTCTGAGGTAGTTAAGATATTACCGTAGCAATTTATGATTCTTTTTTCCAATAAACAGCTCAGTAAGTAGTGTGGTACAGCATCAAATAGCTAAAATACTCCATTTTTTATAAAAGTCATTTATCAGCTGAGCAGAGAGAACTCTTACTGCTGACAAAGAACCATGCTTGAAACTGCAAGGTTAAGACTACAACACGGTTCAAAGGTTAGGTCTCCACAGTCTACCTATCACTTAGTTTATCTGATGATGATTACAGCACCAGTGCCAATTGCACAGATACTTTTCCTTTTAAAACCTTCCCAAAGGTTAACGGCTAACAAGCCAGAGAACAGTCAGTAGAAGACTGATGAAATACAGAAATCTGTAGCACAGCATGAACACACAGCATGACAGAAACCCATACATCTGACTCCAACATTCATCACATGGTAAGTTTACGCTTCCTGTTGTTAGGATTAGATACTCTAAAACACTGGTCTGTAATATCAGCTGTTACTCACATTTCTGTGCTCCATTGAAGAGAGCTCTGTCCTTTGGGGTGTCACCAACTTCAATTATCTTGGCACCTGCCAAGAGCTGCATAATGAGCCCAGAAGTGACGATAGGTGAAATGCCCAGCTCCATCAACGTACCTGTCAGACACAGGAAGAACAATCAAAGAAAATAATGAGTACCACCATACCCAGACACCTTTGAAGTTCAAAGTTTGTTTTCTGTACCCTTTACATCATGATGGAGAAGATACAAAACTCAAAATCTCCACAAATATAAATGTTTCGGTGAGAACAGAAGCTTGTTAAAGGTCAGTCTGATAAGTAATGCAGTACTTCTCAGTACCTTAAAAACTGTTCTCTGAAAAAGGCTTTTGCTGTCAGGAACAGATTTACTCTGCATAAAACAAGGTACAAATTTGCTTTCTGCCTTTTTCAATCAATCACTTTATTATTCGTAACTTTAAACAGGAAAATCCAAAATTTTTTCTGGAGTGCACCAAGTCGCATGCATATATGCACATCTCAGTGTGATTTAAACTGATCGATAGCCCAGATGATATAGGGTGACAAAGTGAATTCAGGAAACTGTCACCATTCTTAACTTGTACCTGCATCAGAAAACCTCTGAGAGAAACTGCAGTTTAGAGAAACTATCATGGATTTTAATATTCTGTGAGAGAGACTCAAAGATGTCACCCAGAAAACTGCAACATAAGTATTTGAAACACAAATCAAAAAGCTTTAAAGATATACAGAAGACTGCAACAGCAGTGATACAGGCAATTAGGAACTGACTCTCCCCTAAACATTTTCCCCTCAAAATGCTCCTTAATTTTTGTACATATAACATATCACATACAGCCAATCATAAACTCATTTTGTTCACAAAGTTGTGCCTTTCTCAATGCTAAATTAGTTTATGATTTTACAAAATATATAAAATGTCTTTTTCCTCTCTGCTCCAGTTTTTATCTTAATTAAAATAAAGTGCAATGTAAGAACATTGCAATGTAAGAAAATGTTTTGGTCCAAGTTAAAAAATTCCGTCCTGAAAGACTGACCATACCTCTATTTGATGCCAAAATCACTCTCATCCAGTAGAAAGGATCTGCTGAGTCTGATGACATGATACCAAACAAGGGAATCTGCATTGCCAACCAACAGAGGAAAAGAGGATTAAATTAGAGACTTCATAACATCTTTTAACCTCTTCTTTAAAAACAAGGGAATGAAACATACCTGGCAGCATACTAAGAAGATGAAGAGTGTGATAGCTGTCCATAGTACCTTTTCCTTAAACTGAATCTGAAGGGGAAAAAAAAAGCAAAAACAAAACTAAAACCAAAACCAACAACAACCAAAGATGATAAAGCTGTCAAGATAACAAGATCTGGTCAATGAGATAAACTTTCATAGTAGCTAAAGGACACCTGGTTTTCTTGAAAAGGGGCAAAGTAGAGGACAGTCTAAAGAAAATAACTCGCTCTTTGTCCTTTTTATATTATATAAGGCCAAGGAAAATGACAAAGCCTTATTGAAACTTTAATAGTACTTCTACAGAAAATGAGTCTTACATCTTCAAAAAAACAGCTTCTGGTGAGCAAAAAATAAAATTACAGAGAAGCTTATCTTAGCAAATAATCTTAGATTAGAATTTAAGAAGCAAAGATTTTCAAGTTGCTATTTTAAAGTACTCTAGTTTGGACTCCAATATGTACTCCTTTCAGCACCTCACCAATCACTGCTATAGCATAACCATATCTGCACAATTGCATTTACCAGTAAATATATTCTTGTACACCCATATACGCAGTACAGGATGTACTGGACAAGCACTCCACTAAGAACAGCTGTGCCTGTAACTGCCATTCTCCTAACAGGAACAAAAAAACCCCAAAACCAACAAACAAAAAAAATCCCACAAATGCAAAATAAGCCCTAAGTATTTAATACTACACAAACACAGACTTAGGCAGAACATTTTATTAACTTACCTTCCGTTCTGGCTTTTGGATTTCAGGCAGGATAACACAGAAGGGCTTGATTACTTCAAGAAATTTTACTGTAAGGAAATTAGTTAAAAGATTAAGGGAATACACAGATACAAAGAATGCTGAGAAAAGTTCAGGTAAAATTTAATTTGGAGATGTACTTTATATAATAAAAGTCCCAGTAAAGGACAAAGGTTTGGGTGTTTTTTGTGGCTTTTGAAAACTAAATTCTTATCTGTTTTAAGTAAGTTGTTCTAGCTGCGCCTCTGCATAAGTACAATATGGAATGGAAACAGAAAATCAAAGCATTTTCTCCTTCTACTGAGTAGGCTGCCAGCACAAAAAAAACCCCAAACCCTTGCCATTGTTTTGCACAAGTTTATCAATACCCTTGAACTTCTATTTCATAATAGCCTCTCCCCTAGCCTGATATTTAAGAAATAAAATACCCACCATATGGTTAAGTCAGGGTTTACTTTTGGGCCATACAGCTTAAGGATTCCTACATACTGGTCATAAACAACAATTCAAGATGTTTTACAGAACATCTCATGCAATGATCGCCTTCAAGTCACAAGGACACATTCTTAAAGTCAGAAAAGTCTCCGTCTTAGAATAAGCATACAAAAGAAGAAGGTATCTGCAATGCCACGAGTTCATCTATGAGCACTGAGATCTGATTTTGAATACAATTAATGCTAAACTTCTTAGGAGAAATCTAAGATTGCACACACGTTTTGGACCGATTTGAATTAGAAAGTGTACAAAGATGCAGAAGAACTGAACCGTGATCCTCTCCTTCTATAGTCATGGATCAGTTGACTAAGATGCTTTTCAAGCAGCTCCTCTTCTAGGTAGCAGATTCTGAAGACCTCCATGCACTCCAATTACTTCTAGACTACAGACCGCTGTTTATAGTTTACTCTGGCAATGTAATTGAAAGCGTTATGAACACCGACCAGCTTGACATCCCGTCTCTCCCTGTCTCGGTACCGCACCAGGCACACTCCAGCCTGGGATGGCTGGGCTTCAGTGCCTGCCCGGCGGAGTGGCCCAGTCACCGGCCATCACAGAGCAAGCTCTCTTCCCTAGGAAGATCTGCCATAACCAGGAAATGGGTCTTTCACCGTGACAGGGATTAAAAAAAAAGACAGAGGGAGCCTCCAAACCAGAGGAAGGGAAACCCGCACAGGGCTGGCCGCGGAGGGAGTACCGCTGCAGTCGGCCCAGACTGAGGGCCTGCAGGCTTGAGGGGGACGAGGGCAGAGCGGAGGCCCCTCGGCCGTCACGCATCCCGCGTGCGTGAAGGGAAACCTCCCTC